AATCACAATAGACTCCCCTGTGTCCCGGCGTCTGTATTCAGGATACCCACTTTCATGGCTTGTTGTAATATCAGAAAAAGACTTAAGGTAGTCGTATATGCACTTCCCTTCCATTCCTCTATGCTTCATGCATGGGCTTTCAGGGTTATCCTTCCCACATGGGCCATGTATCATATGGTTTAAGACCACTTTTCGTAAGTGTGGGTTTTCATGGGAAGGAATTTCAGCGGACACGTACTTGTCAAATGAGTCTGTATGCTTTATCTTAAATTCCGGCTTTAAAATAATGAGCATATGAACATGTGGCAAGCCACGTTTTTGGAACTCAACTACATAAATGAACGCAGCCACCTCTCCAAACACTTGTTCTTCTTTTATTTTTTTTTCCAGTGCTATAAGCTTTGCTCTGAAAACACGAACTACAAGATCGGGTTGGTTTTGTGCTTTTTCCCCGTGTGCCAGCTCTGCTTTGATTTCTGGCCAATTTGGGTTGCAGGTCATTGTTATGAATAAGTCCGGTTTCCCAAAACGTTGTACAAGAGCGATAGCATTGAGATAACGTCGTTGCATATCACGAGGCCCCCCTAAAAAGGAAGGAGGGAGGATAACACACTGACCTACATTCGATGCATTTGCTTCACCGCCTTCAAGTGTATCTACTAAACCCTGATATAGCTCAGCTCTAATTTGTGCCTGATTTTGTCTAAAGAAATCCAGCCGAGTATTCTCTATCTTCACATACATGTCTACAATATATTGCAAGAACAGCCGCCCAGCCCGTAGGATGAAATTTCCAGCACGCATTTGAAACTTGTATGCATAATACTCCCTGCAAGAAATAAGCTTGCCCTTCTTCCCCCGAGCAGCAGCTGCAATTCCATTTGTTTTTATAAAAGTAGTTACATTTACATGATTAATACGGGAATGACATAAATGAAATAACATGTTTTTGGTGTAAGTAGTCACAATTAGTTGTCTTACCAGAACCTTCTTCAGTTACCAAATCAGCTGCCTCTTGAACATTGTCTGAAATGACAATATTTGAAAGGTCTTCCACCTGGGACCGTCCTCCATGAGACATTTTTAGTAAACCGTGATGCCACCCACAGTCACCTCGAGGAAATAGAAGCGGGTATTGTAGAGGATCGTAACAGCCATAATAATGATATATCCTATGGCTCTTGTTTGATTTCCCATGAACAATGATATGTGGGCTGTTGCTTTGGCTAGATGAAGTACCTTCACTCCATATCACAGCTACTTCTTCGGATGTCGGAGCATTGTAAACACGTTGATCAAGAACGGGGTGTTTATTGAGCCTGATTTCAGTCTCTACAGTGATTTCAGTCTCCCGAAGAGACTTGAAAAACCTGGCATATGGATTCAAAAGCATAATAGCCATGATCAAGGAAATTATACTCGGACGTAAGTTTGGAAAAAGACGATGTCTATTTCTGCCTCAAACATAGCATCGTAGAAGTAAAGCTGTAAATATTGTGGTGGTTCATTATCAGGCAAGAGGTCAGGAATATTATGATAAATTTGGCCATGAACCTTCAAAGCATATATTCCTTTATGAATATCCCCATCCATTGATCCACCAATTGAGCTAAAAGCAAAGAGGTTATTGTAAAGGCGAGAATATGTCTGAAAATGATCTGAATCATCGTCATTAGAACTATAAAGTTTATCTAATTCAGGGGGTAAAGCATTAGAAGCAATTTCAACTTCACCATCACAGCAACAAAAATGCAATGACTCAAAGGCTAGTTTTTTTGCACGACACTTATCGCAAAAATGAGGGGCAGGCAACTCCATGGGCTTAGTAGGCAGCGATTGGTCGATATTTATTGCAGCACCAGCTATAAGCAGTTTTAAATAAACATTCAGTCGAGACAATTCTTTAAAAACTCAGAGAAATGCATAGCTTATTATTTAGAGACATTCACCTGTCTTTGATTGCTTTTGGCGTTTAGGTTTTGGAATCCCTAAAATCGCCCGTTGTCGAGCACTCATTCTTGTCTTTGATGTTGTAGAATATTCTAGGAAATCTGCTACAATATGAAACACCCTTATTTAAATAATGTGAAGTTTCTCGGTTTTAAAAAAATGGGAATTCATGGGGTAAAAGAAACATTGTGCTTACCCATCACATATAAAAGTGAAAATTTCAGTTGTTGGACAAGTAAAATGAGAATCAATTCGAGAACCTGCTGCTTGTAAATAGCTCTGATTTGTACTCCTGCTTTCTTGCTTTCTTTTAATCTTTGATTATTCCCTTGAATCCCTACTTGCTTTCTTCCACCTTTCACCATAGTTATTTTGTACCATAATCCTGCATCAACAACCTTTTGGTTCTTCGGTAGGCAGTAACTAATGTTGTCATGGACTTATTCTATTTCTCATTTAATTACTTATTAATTGAGTAGACCTTTCAAATTCATCCATTTAACTGAGTCACCAATTAGAGATAGAAGTTAAAATTAATAGTAACTGAGAAATTGTAGATATAAATTATCTTCTTTGATAGAAAAGAATAGTACATACTGTAACGCTCTTGTCCAGAAGTCTAAGATACTAAACAAAACACAAATTCTGCAGTGACGAAACACGTTTATATTGAGTGGAAATTCAAGCATAAGAAAAGGCATAAGAGCCACACCGCCAACAATGCATAAGCAAGAATCAATGAAAAGAGCCAAACCTGGTAAACGACAAGGCTAGAGTTGATTCCAGCACCATTGACGTCTCTAACCTGGACATACAACCTCCTTACAGAAGGCACCATTCCCTTTGGGCATACAACAATCACACTGGGCATACAACAATCACACTTGATCAAATTAATCTCACATACAACACTTTTTAATTTTAAGTGGCTTTTATATAGCATTTGTTATTAAGAATTACTGCTACAATGAAATTTAAATATCACTAAAACTGACCTTCCATGATTACCGTTCAGCAAACTAATGGCGAACAATTGAACACTAATACCCTTATTTGCCACTCTATGTACTAGCATATTGATGCAATAAGAGCCAAGTTAATTCATTTGTCAGCTTAAAAGTGATTCTTTATAAGAAAAAACAAAACAAAAAAAAAAACTACAATAATTCATCAAACCTCATTAGCTTAAAAAAGGGATCCGGTAACATATCAATTCTATACAAAGAATAAATGAAGTACTTTTGGTAATTACGCTCAATATTTAAGGCCATGTTGGGAAATTCATTTTAATTCATCAAGGGAAAATAGAACAATTAAGAGTAGATGTATTGAAAGTTTGAAATCATATACCAAATGGTGTACTTTTACACATAAAAATTGAACAAAAGACTCACACTAATTCACAAACATGCCATTGATTTACACGAATATGAACTACATATCAATTTTACTTTATGAATTTCCCAGCTAGAAAAATCAATAATTTAATCAATGTATTTATACTATTACAAATATAGCCATCAAATAAACAACAATCATAACCCTTTTTGCCTATCCAAATTTTATTCACAACCTTCAAATTTATAGTCACAAATTTCAACAGTTGAAAATGAACAATAGCCCAGACCTGATTGGTGGCAAATTTAGGAGCACAAATCAATACTCTGTACTAAACTATGCGACTAAAAAACCAGACTCAATTATTTATCAACTAAGTACTCTAAATCAATACTGAACTATCAAAAGAAGAACACACTCTATCTCTGATTGGTGGGAAAATTGTGAGTATAAATCAATACTAAACCAATTGTTGGCCACATTTCAGAGCTAATATTTTGTACAAACCTTGTATTTTTGCACTGTATAGAGAGGAGAGAGAAAGAGGCACCGGTGACCCACCTCCAATAAATTCCGGCCGTCATCTTCCGCCGGCGCCCCCTCGACAGGCAGCTGTGCTGTCGTACCACCTTCCTCACCATGGTCGTCACCAGCCGATGGACCAGGACATGCTCCTTTGATGTCATCTCTTGTATCATTTTTTCTCAATTGGAAATGTAAATTCAGAATTTAAAAATTTAGCACTTCAATGGAGAATTGTAAATTTAGAGTTTTCTTGTAAATTTAGAACTTTCTCCATTGAAGTGATGAATTTTGCAAATCTGAATTCACTTCTCTTCGGCAATTTGGAGAGATGAAAGACACATGGAGAGAAAGACACATGGAGAGGAGAGAGAAAGCTGAAGGCAGAAGGTGTTAATTATTGTGGGGGTAATAAGGTAAATAAACAATTTAGAGGGTATAAAGGTCCGACCACTGTTCATAAGAATAACTTTCCACTTTTTATAAGGTAGGGATATGTAAATATACTAAAATAACAACGGCTGATATTATCACTTTTTAAATTGTACACATGCCAAGTTGTTAAAATTTTTCCAGCCTAAATCAATTGTCGACATTATATTTTTATTTATTTATTTTTACCGTAAATTATTACAATATTTTTTTGAAGACAATTATTATTATTATTTTTATTATGAATTTATAAGTGACTATCTGACTTCAAAATATAATTACACTCTGTTAAGGAGTACTCAGTAATACATAATTTGCTTAAGCTTTTACACTTCTTCAAAATTAATAAGATCTAAATATCATTACAAATGACAATTAAGGATTATGTTTTTATAATTTATTTGACATATATAAAATATAAATTTATTTCAATAAATTTTTTTATGTCGTGCATTGCACGAGACTTATTTAGTTATTTATTATTAAACCAACCTCACATCAACGTCAATTTTATTATATATATATATATATTTTTTAACTATTTTTTCTAAAATTCTACGCATGGAAAAATAAAGTAAGTAATAAAGTACATAGAGAATAACAATTTTGTCAAAGATAATGTAATTACAATTGCTATACGTAGTATAAAAACTTGTAAAAACACCTTAAAGGTGTCAATTATTTTTCAATGGAAGAGTACTATAGTGAAAGGCCAATATTGTCACAAACTCACAAGTCACAACTCAATCCAAATGGCGCGGGAGAAATAGAAATACCAATACAAGCAGCAAATCCAGCAATGGTAAAGTGTTAGTGGAGAAATTTAGGGGTAGGCCCTTCAACGGGTCCCTCTCTTTTACCTTGTTTCTCAATACTCCCCCTCTACCATCAACATCCTTCCTTTGCCTTAAATGCCATCTTTTTCTTCCCTTTATTTTTTTTTTTTTGGAAAATTTAATTTCCTGCTTCACTTACTTCAAAATTATTTATTATCCTTACCCTTCCAATTTTTCTCTGCTCTTTCTAAATTTCTGGGTTTTTATTTTTCTTCTCTTCGATATAGTAATTTATATGAATTTTTAGTTTATATTTGTAAGTTATATATAGTATTTTTTCTTGTTCATATAATTCATGGAAATTGAAGAGAAGTTCATAGCTGCTGATTCTACTTGTGGAGATCACCATGTTCTTCAAAATCGAAAGGTACCCTTTTAGTTTTAATATTATCTTTTTCATTTCTATTGATTCACCTTGTTTCGAATCGATCAGTAGAAATATTAAACTTGAGTTTGGTAGGAATTCGAAAATAAAAGTAGAAAACATTGAGTTCGATATAATAGTTCTGTATCTTGTCATGTATTTCTAAATTCAAATATTGTATATATACTTTGTAAATTGTAATTATTTATATTTATATATATACAGTCTCTTACAAGTTTATATTACTACCTCTGTTTTTGAATACTTGTTCCATAACTTTTGGGCACTTATGCCGGTGTTAAACTTTAATCAATAATATTTTTAATTATCAATAATTATATAACCTATGTATTGAGACGATTTAAACAAATATCCACAAGATTATATTTTTTTTCTTATGTATAAATAAAAAAATATTAGTCAAAGTAAGAAAAAAATAAATAGTACAAAAATTAGAAATGAAGCAACTATTTAAAAAACGGAGGAGTAAAACTTTATTTTTAGTTACTCTATTTCGAAGTATTTCATTTTCGCTGTTTATAAGGGGTTTTAGGCGTGTTTATATGTTACACTAGATCACATGATTCTTCCCGTTTCTTCTTTACAGTTTACATGATAATAATGTTTTTATTCCCATCAAATAAATAAATAAATAAATAAATAAGTAATGTTTTTAATTAATTTTTCAGCTTTATTTTATACTTATATCATTATATGTTACGGAATATTGTTTTTTATTTGGTATAGTAAGTTATGTAGGTAGTTGAGTCTGTTAGGTTGTAACAGCATTTTATTTGATTATGGCCTCCAAATAAATCAAACGTTTGTGTTCGAAACACGTGTCTTATCATCATTTTTATTTTATTTTTCTTTTGAGTACTGGAAAATTCAATGTCCTAATCAATTTGAAAATCTCATATTTCATTTCACATGAAACTTCACATGAAACTTTCATACCTGAGTTTTGGAATTTTGTTAACATGAAATTTACGATTCAGGAGTTTGCCAACATGGGAATCTTGTGGCTAATTGATAAGTTATCTGTTTTTGTTTAGATGGATACTTGAAAGGTTTTGTTTTATAGTGTGTTTGGTTATATTCTTTCTGTTTCATATTGTTTTTTATATTGAGAAATTTTTGTGTGACTAAATTGGTCAAAATAGGAAGAATAATATGAAACAGAAGAAGTACAAAGTACTTCGAAGGAGGATAGAGTGTATGAAAGACGAGGGAAAGAGTGACCTTCCATTTTCTTTTTACCCGAAACTACCTAACTATTAAGTACACATGGGTGTGTGTAGGCGTATTTGTTCTAATAGTGGAAGAAGTCTGTTTAAGGGGAAGGGAGAAAGGATACTTTTAATTTCTTTTCTTTTCCTTAGTTTTAATTCCATATCCAATTTCCAAACATAAAATTCGGATTTTTGTTGCTCACTATATAACTACAGTACATTACTTCTTGAGATACTAAACAGAGAACATTTTTTATAGAGCCACGTTAAAGTGTCTTATATTGATAATTTATCCATCAATACATAAAGAGAGACCTCACAAGGGCTATGGTTCTCCCAAATTTGCTCGAACCAGAAAACATGTCTAGAGGTGGAGACGCATTACTATAGATATAGCCATATGCCCATATGGATAGTTAGCGAAGCCTTTTAATATGAGGGAATGAGTATGTGATTACCAATATGACATTACTTCCTATCAAATGAGCCGTTATGGATCATAACTAACAAAGCCATTTTATTAGGTACATTCTCTCAGGGTGGCATAATATGCTAGGCAACTGCTGATTTGATTTGTTTTGATTTGATGATCACCTTTTTAACTGATTGTAATTCATCATTGTTCGTTTGACATTTATTGTGAATGTATCTTCAATATACTGTCATCACTAGGTTGTAATGTATTATTGACCCTTAAGTTCAGCACTTCATCGTGCCTTCCTCATCAGCATATGTTCATTTACTGTTTTGGTGTTTCATGTAATCTAGCTTCAAAAATAATTCTAGTTACTTGAAAAAAATTAACTGAGGAAGTGAACTTGTTCTCCTGAGCGTAAAGACTAGTTGAAAGCTTGGAATAATTGCATAAGGAGAATAAAGGCGTAATTGATAATGTGCCCATATCATTTGTATCTTTATTCAGTTACTACTTGTGATGTTTCAGGTTGAGAGTTCCTCTGCAGAAAATGTAGACACAGGACGTGTACCCAACTGGAAAAAACAGAACCTTTCTCTCGACATTCCTACAAGAAAAATTGATGGCCCTCCAGATTGTGTTAAAATCAAGATGCCTCCTACACCAAAGAGAGTCAATTTTGTTTTGACACCAACCTCCTCTGATGTAAAATCTTATGAATCTCCTGGTCCTTCCTCAGTGAGAGGGCGCTCATCATTAAAAAATCTTCTACCAAAATTTGCCTTTTATCGTAGCTCTTCAGATGTTGATAAGGCTGTGTGCACAGCAAGTGATGTTCCATTATCAACACCACGAGAGAAGACCTCCATCCCCAGGTCAACATCAATTACAAAGATATTTACACCAAGGATCAAGCGAACTTCATCCCTTCCGGTCACCCAAAATGAGAACCCAGTACCTGTTCTCTGTGGAAGCACCAGTGGTTCACTAAATTCATGCGTAAGCTCCTCTAATTTATTTCTGAAATTTGTAACTGCATAATCCTTCAGCTTACAGCTTACTGCTGGTGATTTTGTGTCACTAAACAGCATACAGGCCAAAGTCTAGATTTTGTAAGCATTATGCTCTTAAGAAAGCGTGATGCACAAGAATTCCTACACTGTTTACACGTCTATAGCTTATTATTATGCCCAAATGTGATAGATTATACCCTTCAAGAGTAAAATACTTGATGTACATACAGATCATCCTCTTCTTCGTTAGTGGAAGTAGTTATTTTATTAATTTCTTGTAGATGTCTTTGCTAATAGTCTAAGAATATTCTAATCTTATGTATAAGCTAGACACTGAAGCTGAACTATTATTTTTCAGTTTTTCTTTCACATGTACGGAACAACTCAATCTCATGTCCATCTATTTTTGGGGTTCTTCCAAAATTCTTACTCATATTGCAGGCAAAGGGATCTCAAAAACATGAAGCTGAGGTACACATTTCTCGTTCACTTTCAGTTCCCCTCAATAAAGAATTGCGCACTAGAAGAATGGATTCTTTTATTCGTGTAATCCCCTCTCCTCGGGTGAAGGCAGGAGATCTTCATATTCCAAAAACAAGTGAGCCAGTGAAAACTGGTTAGTTCTTTACTTTTATATACAAAATTCCCTAAAGTCCATTCACCAAATTCATACTTTGTATGTCATTGACCTTGCTGTTACTATGTTTGCCTGACTTGGAATGAGAAACTTGTCTTGACTTTTCATGACACCTTGATTATCCTTGTTAGAATTGTTACTCAACAATTTGTCTAAAGTATAGAACTTGACACTTCATATTTGCCAAAATTATGCAAACTTCTCACTTTATAGCCAAGTCAAGCACTTAGATTTGTACCTATGAGTCTATGACCCACACTTATAGCAAGTCCAAGTAACGTAGTTTCTAATAATTATAGTCAAGTTTTATTCATGCTTATATAGCAGAAATGATAATGTTGCTTTCTATATAAAGATTTCTAAAGGAGAGGGGTTTTTTGGCTGAAATTTTTTTCCAAAGGTAGAATTATTTTTTGGGCATTTCACATTTCATCTGCTGATCTGATGGACTTTCACAATTTAAAACCAGTATGAAGTTTGACGACCCTGGATCCTACTGATTTTTCAGTACCCTATCATTGTCAGCAACATTAGTAACTTTTAAACTTGATGCATCATGATGAGTATGAAAGGAAACTTTTCTATACTCTATTAAAACAAGCAATGGGTATTCTCTTAAACTTATTTGTTCTTTGGATTTCCGATTCAAGGCATATTACTTTTAGCTGAAAAAGTGTAGCACTAGAAGTTACAACCAAATATTATCAGAGTTGTTTCGCTTTGTATATATAATTCATCATAAAACCTGAAGGAGATGACTGCCTAAACTTGAGCATTGGTTGAATGATGACTCTCAAGTCCATTGTGAATCCAAGTGAACATCAGAACCGTCCAACTAACCTATCTTCCTCCAGATTCTGTTCCTAACTTATTGTTTCTCTACTTTCAGAAAATGCAGAAGCTGATAGTGAAGATATACCCGAAGAGGATGCTGTTTGTCGAATTTGCTTGGTTGAATTATGTGAAGGCGGAGAAACCCTGAAGATGGAATGCAGTTGCAAAGGTGAACTTGCTCTTGCCCATCAGGAATGTGCCGTGAAATGGTTCAGTATTAAAGGGAACAAAACATGTGATGTATGCAAGCAAGACGTACAAAATCTGCCTGTCACTCTTCTGCGTATCCAGAGTACTCGTGCAGCAAATGCTGCAACAACTAGAGCTCAAATGATTAACATCAATGATTACAGGCAAGTCTTCTTTCTTATTTTCTGCTTTTTTCTTCAATCGTGTAGGACAACAATCCACTTTTGGTGTAGACTGTAGAGAGAAACGTTTATGCATCGCTTCATTATCTTCAGTTGCCACACATTTTTAGTTATGCATTTTTGTCATTCTATATAGAACCTTTTGTATGCACATTATTATTATATAAATCAAGTACCAGAAGAAAATTACTGAATTCAGTGTTCCCACATGCATCAGTGCATAATCTTGGATCCCTTCCATATACCATCCCGGTATTGACATATTTTCCTTGTTTAATTTGGAATTTGAGGAATGGATGCCTAGACTGCCAACTGATCGGACATAGAATCATTCAGTCACTGCTTTCTTAATCCGTTCGTGTGAATCATTTGCAGGGCTTGGCAAGAAGTTCCAGTCCTTGTAATTGTCAGTATGCTGGCCTACTTTTGTTTCCTGGAGCAACTACTTGTAAGGCATTTTTATTCATGCTAATAAATCAAGTTTGCTAACAGATTTTGACTCTTACAGCATATTTCTGTTTCTATTCAGGTTGGGAAACTGGGCACTGGAGCAATTGCTCTCTCACTTCCATTTTCTTGCTTGCTGGGTCTACTTTCGTCAATGACCTCATCAACGATGGGTAAGTCTCCAGGACACTCAAGGACATAGTCTTGTATGTTTTCTTTCAGTTTACATAATTTGGCAATCAGGAAGAGATAAGTGGTCTATTCAGTGTTGCATGAAATGAATAGGGTTTAAATGAAGACGGTTCGAGAACCTTCACTAGGATTAAGGTAATAATCTGTGAGTGGCTCGTACTTAGGAGGAGGAGGAGGGGTAACATCGCCTTCACCCATCGCACCAAGTCACGAGCACACAAACTTATCAACACGTCGCAGCTCCTAAAAAAAACACCACACACACACGGCAGCGCGCACACACTTGTAGTGCACCACACTGGCACACCAACACTTTGCAGCACCCAAAGAGCACTACACACACCTAGCAGCACCACACGCACACTCGGCAGCACCCAACAGAGCAGGACACACACACTAGCAGCATGCATACACCTGTAGCGCACCACACACTCGGCAGCACTCGGCAGCACCCGACACACACATCACACACAATATGCGCACCCGACACACACAACCCAGCACACCACATACTCGGAAGCACACCTCAATAAGCACCACGCAACACAGCGCAGCACACAACCACATGCACCGCAATAGCAGCACGTACTAACCAACACAATTAGAGTTTGAGAAACCCTAAATTAACGAATTAATTGTGTAGGAAATTGAAACAAAAATTGAAGCCCTAATCTCACTTTAAAATTGCGGAATATTTGTAATTTGATGAACAAACCAAGATCGAAAAAAAAATCTGTAGAAATTAGAGAGGCTTTGATACTATGTTAAAGTGGAGAAAGATTGGAGAAAACGGTTAAGCCTTGCATTGATTATCACAACAATATGTATACACAATACAAAGGAAATCTAACTTGCCTAAACTCCTAATAAGATAGACTTAACATAAATACCCGACTTCTAATATATACGGACACGGGAAAATGGATACTGTAAAATGTGAAACTTGGATTGTTGAATACAACAGAATACATGTTTTTTTGGTTCATCAAGGCAAGATGTAATTTGAAATTACAAAACTGAGACAAACACAAGTATATTCTTATACATATATTGGTGAAAAGATAGGCAAATTCTCCGTTTCTAGTCTAGTTTGTGAAGTCTGACTTTTAAACAGTAATTTGGAAATTTATGTAGGGTTAGTGGAGTTAATATATGGGATTGCATAATATATATACGTAAATGAATTACTTAGTGGATTTTTCAGTGATTTACCGATACTTGTTACTTAAAAGAGTTCATATTAGGACATTTTTTAGTATCTCAGCGTCTAGTTAATGTTAATGACTGTCGAATCTCTGCCCATAAGTCTAAATCACACAGAGAGGATTTTTTGTGGGCTTGAAACGTTATGCAATATTATATTCGTCCTCTGCAGTCTGCATGTCCTCTGTCGAACATATGTGACACAGATTCGCTAATTGGTTGGTGTGTCTGCATTACCTGGGTTTGAACTAGTCTTTTGACCACCCAATAGGTAAGTATTTAGTCTCTATCGATTTAATGTAAGATCCTCCTAATATATGATCAAACTTGGTAAGTTATTGTTTGGAATGTTGTTTGTGAGGTACTGAGGTTATGGGAAATTCCCTGTTTCTCATGGTGAGAAACGAAATTTGTTTCTCATGATGGCATTTTCGTGAATAAATCAACAACTTTTTCATTATTGTGGGCTCCACAGTTAAAAAAGTTGAATAAAGTAAGTTGTTGGTTTATTTACAAAAATGCCATGTGAGAAACAAAATTTGTTTTTCACCATGAGAAACTGGGGCATCCTCGTGAGGTTATAGCTCCTGCCCTTATTTCCAGCTAAATTGAAAATTTGTTGACTGACCTATCTTTGCTTCACATAAATTCATCTTCATTTTAATAATGGAAATAGATGTTTAAGGACCAAAAAAATACTATTGAAAAGAAAGAGGTTTTCAAAATTTTAACTGACGTAGTGTAAGCATCTTGTCACTCAGTGCATACATTTGAGAAGCCTGGCCTTATGTGCTAAACTGCGAATTGGAGTACCATCTAGAATTGGACTGATCGATCATAGACTTCTGTTCTTCCGCTCATGCATGTGTAATGTGCTTTAGCCATTTCAATTCTTCGTCAAAATTGAACCTTCTGAAGTCAAATTTTGATCTGGTACTCTGAGATAGGAGGTACTAATAACACCAGTGGGTAGATTATTAATATTAAAGTGTTTTTAAGGGTTCTTGTTTTTACAAAGCTATCAAATTTAATTTTACAATGCTTGAACCTAATTTACATTTTAACGACATTTTTTGTTTGTAAAGCTAATTCTCTACTGCACTTTTCAGCAACGAAACGATTTGTGTGGCTATATGCTTCCATGCAATTTGTTCTGGTCGTCATCTTTGGCCATATTTTCTACACAGTGGTAAGAGGTTATATCTATGAATTTTTTTCCAAAAATATAAACAGATAACTGAATGCATCTTTTCTTTCTTATAATAGCCCTTTTTGATTGGGAGGAAATGGGAGGAAAAGAAAAGAAAGGAAAGTAAAATTATGGCTTCCTATATTTGGTTGTAAAAATTAACCGGAATTTGATAGGAAATGGAGAGAGATTGTTATATACACTTGGGTGTATGGTACACCCAAGAGTATTTATTTGTTCATTTGATGATAAAATGAGCAATAATCATCAAAATGAGCAAAAAATATCTTCGGTGCACCGTACATCCGGGTGTATAAAACAATTTCTAGGAAATGGAAGGAAAAATCCCTTTACAAAATCTTCCCTTTCCTTTCCTCCAAAATCGGGGGAATTTGAGAGAAAAGGAAGAAAATAAATCTATCAAGTTAAAAATAAGTTTGCCCTTCCTTTTCCTTTCTTTACTAATTTCAATTTATACCAAACAATATTCCTCTCTTTTCCCTTCCTTTACTAATATTAAACCAAACATTACCCTCCGTACCTTAATTAAAAGCCTAGTTTTTTTCTTTTCCCTTCTCTTCCTTTCCCTTTCTCTCCTTTACTAATGTTGGACCAAACAAATATGATTTCTCTGGCTTTGCAGGTCCATTTACAAGCAATCATATCAATTCTGCTGGCGACATTTGTAGGGTATGGTATTGCCATGAGTGTTAGTTCTATCATCGTCGAATTTTTTAGATGGAGAGCAAGGAACGCCCAGCTACATACACGGCAAGATCCTCAAGCAGCTCATCAGCCAAACAATCAAGAAGAATAAATCTCATCTCCATTGCCTTGGCCAGGTTATCCAAACCGTCTTCCAGCATATCCAGATAACCATGAGACGTTTAGTCACACCTGAACTGTAATATGTATAGTTTTTGTTTGAGTAATGTAAGATATGCATGCTCTTGTCCAGGTTCAAGATGTGTAAATCTTGTTGACTTATCAGTCGATTGTCATTAGTATTGTAAGTGAGAGAGTGGTTTCGAGTGATCTGAGTGTTTGAGATGTAGTTATAGTAATGGTTGGTAAGTTGAAATACCATGAATACAAATAGCTTGAGTTTCCTGTGATGAAGAGAGGGTTCAGGTGTTCAGCCACTCATGATCCTATTGTAAGTGAACTCTGTTTGTAAAAAGCAAAGAGGCAGAAGTTTTTTTGGTAACTTTTTGTTGTTCAGTTGTTGAAAGTAAGAGGAAGAGCCGAAGTATTCAAGGGTTTTAAAATTTCGATTTTGTCGAAAACTACCTAAGTTCTTAATACATTTAAAATTTAGTATGAATCTATTTGGCTAACACGATCATCAACATTATCGTATTGAGAATTCTGATAATTTTGCAACCTTGAACCCTCAATAATGACAAGTTTTCTAAATTGATTGTGTTAGAAGTAACAACAACTTGATCTTGAAGTAATAATAGCATGTACTCGCTCGTACATGTTTATGTCCTTAGAGCAACTCCAACCGTGTAAAATTAGGACTAGCTTGCAATTTATGAAACTAATAAATAATTAGCTTAACCGTTGAGATTGCATTACGAAATTAGTTGGACAAAGCTATTCGCTTAGCTAAGCGAATTCGCTTAGAAAATTGTGCCAAACAGTAAAAATAACAAAAAGTTGCATCGTGTATCTCACGCTAACAAGAAATAGAGGATTTCTTGGTCTCTAGCTACTTGAGACCAAAATGGTCTCAGCCAAGGGTACCAAGGTAATTTCCCCTTAAAAGCTGTCAGTTATTAAAAAAAAAAACCCTCAGTGTTGGCCCACTTATTTTCAACCAAAAAGTTTTGATTTTTAAAGTCTAAAAAGTGGAGAGAGAACTTATTTTCAACTGAAAAGTTTTGATTTTTAAACTCTAAAAAGTGGAGAGAGAAAGCATTAGAAGTTTGATATTCTGAAAGTGAAAGAGGGAAAGTTTAAAGGGTGTGCGCAAAGACGAAGAAATTGTGTAGGAATTCTACAGAATTGAAGCCGTAGAATTCAGCGGTTTGACAACAGTTCACATCTGTCTTTGCGGTAATTCTCTTGGTTAATTTTTCAAAAATTATTGTATTTCAGCGTTTGTTGAATTAATAGGGTTTTAGTATACATTTGCACTATTATTTATATAAATTTTAATTATGGAATTTTGTTTGTTTGGGCAATTTACAAACTAGGGTTGTGCTGCATTTTTAATTTGGTGAAATTGATTATATGAAGTTGTGAATTTAAGGGTTGTTTTTTAAATTACAAACTTAGGTTAAATTTGTGTGTTGGATGATTGATGAATTTTTCGAATTGTAAATTTTTTAAACATAATTCCGAGTTTAGACTTTAGACCAGCCAAGTTAAGAGAATTCTACAGATATTTTTGGTCTTTTTGTTATTGAACTTTCCATTTTTGTTTTCATTTTTGCTGCTGAAAATGGATTTGTTGTTGTGTTTGTATGTGTTCATGTTGTTATGTTATGAAGTTTTAGTTGGATTAATTATAGTGAAATCACTGAAAATGTGCGAAAAATGCAAAATTTGTGAAGAGCAGGGTATAATGGTGCCTGAATATGCAGTGTTGGTATTGTATTAATACCATCAGATAACATCATGTTATAAAATGAGGAAGTTTTGATGAAAAAGTTTAGCATATATATTGTATTGTAGGGTGTTCCAGTTGTATATCATATGGGGGGGGGGTACCATATGTTCTTGTTGTAGCATGTCTGCATGGTGTGTCTGTTTTTAATGTGTATTTGAATTCTTGTAGTTAATGAATTGTATTTTTGCTTTGTTTTAGTCATGGTGTTGGAGAGGTCTGGTGACTCCTCTATAAGCTGCAGGCGTAATTGGGGGGTGAGTGTAATGAAGAAGTGTAGTAGTTTGTTTGTATTAGTTTTAGAATACAGAAGTAGCTCAATTACCCGGGACAGACCTGTGTCTAATTTATTGACCGTTGTATGCTTTGCAGGGTAGCTTGAAAAAAAATTATGAAAATTGTACCAGCAACGGATTCTTCTAGCAAACAAATGGGTAAGCGGAAATCGAAAGGTGTAGTGGAGGATGTAGTAGTTGAGGATGTAGTAGATGAGGAAGAAGATGATGACTTTGAGGAAGATGGTAGTGAAGCAAGTTCTGATGATGATGATTATGAACAAGAGGTCGAAGAAGATGATCCTGATGATGAGTTAGATGCTGGTGACTATGTAGAAGAGGTGTACGTAGAAAGTAGGAGTGGGCGTAAGAAGCGGAAAGTGGTTGAGAAAGTGGTTGAGGAAGAAGAACCTATGCCCAATACTACTACAAGAAAACCTGTTAAGCAACAGAAGAGGATAATTAGAACGGTGAAGCGTCCCCCGCCAGCAAAGAGGCAGTATGTGGAGAGGTCGACAGCCGCGGAGAGGCAATATGTTGAGAGGCCGCCAGCCATGGAAAGGCAATATGTTGAGAGGCCACCAGCTGTTGAGAGGCAGTATCTGGAGAGGCCGCCAGCCGTGGAGAGGCAATATGTTGAGAGGCCGGTAGCCGTTGAGAGGCAATATGTGGAGAGGTTAGCTGCTGCAGAGGACAAATTGTGGGCAAACAATATGTGGAGAGGTCCGCACCAGTACAGAGGCGGCGATTAGTTGTTGAACAAGATGATCAGGTGAAATTAAAGTAAATAGTGTGTTTAAATAGGTTAGGGTGGACTTTATTTACTAATGCATTTGTTTGGTGATTGTGTAGATTGAGATTGATCTAGAACCGGGCCCGTCGGTCGGTGAGAAGGTGAAAATGAGTGGGGTTGTGGTTAGTACGCAGTTGAGGATGTGCAAGAAGGTAAACTGAGTTTATTGTGACAATATTTGGTAATTAATTGGTGCATGTGCTTTTGGCTTACATTTCTGATGGGATTTTATGTTTGGCAGTCTGCAAATTACAATTGCCGCGTTTCTGCATTTTCTGACCTGATCACTGTGCTGGAAATTGAGCAAGGGAAAATTGACCTTCTGAATAGGTGTGATTTTGGCGGCTTGTTGAAGTTGAAACTTAAAAAAAAAGATCGTAGGTTTTGTTACTGGCTCATGTCAAGGGTTGACCTTAAAAGATGAGTCTGACTATTTAAAGTAACTTGATATTGAAATTTAACATAATTGGGATTAGTACATAATTAACTATTTTCAACTTTTTCTATTTTACCACAGTTGAATAATTAAATAAGATGTTATAATTAAATAAGATGGTGTAGCACACTTCATTAAATGAGAAGTGACCTTAAGAAGATTCGAATTTCCTATATTAACTTCATTGCAATAACTCTTGATGGGAATAAAAGCATGTCAAAGCTCATCTCTTTCAGTCACTTCCATTAAATGAAGTAAATGAAACTGGTCGTTGATAAATGCGAAATGCATAAATGCTTCATGAATTGATATATGTGTCCAAAGGTTTGGTGTTGGATAAAACCCAATCTCACATACAACGATATATTTAAGACCGCAGATGGTATCACATAAACTACTGTAAAGATATTAAATAGCTATAACTACCGTTCTCAACCAGTCCTCAAACAAAGTGCATATCACTTGAAAATCTAACCCCCTAAAATATAAATACAGAACATGTACCATCACATTCCAGATTAATTAATTAAACAGCTAACACACATCACATTAGTTAAATAACCGAGATACTTTAGCACACTAAGCACATAGTTGAAAATTAAACAACTAACACACATCACATAGTTAAATAACTAACATACCTAAACAAACACAGTTAGACCTAATTATAATATTACCCCTTGTTTAAACATCCACAAACTTAGACACCCAAACCGTTTTTAGGAACTAGTTATATTAATTACCTATGGTACCAACAATTAATAGAATGGTATTGTAAAATGCCATTCTGTTGGTAGTTAAACATCCAACTAAATTTATGATGGTACACTTAATCTACCTGGAAGACACCATAAACATAAATCTGGATTGCCTCAGATCTCTTCACTACCATCCGTGTTGGACGAGTCTGAGGTGGTGTACTCCGTTCCAAAACTTAAATCCATATTAAAAAAGAGTCGGTCCGTGAGCTTCTTCACAGCCAAATCCATTTGCTTCTTGTAGTCTTCAGGATGGAGATCAGTGATGTATGGATTAGTAAGTAGGATATCGATGTGTTCCATAACATCCAAACCATTGGCATCCATCATCATGTTCTTGAACGTAAGGAAGTTTTCCTCGTCATCTTGGAGCTCAAACCTCAAATTTTCATGGGAAAATTTCACCCACTCACATGTGATGTTGATCTTATCGACAACATGAACACCGACCCCACTTTCGCCAGAAAACTTGCGTCCTAATATAATAATACCCCATTTTCCCGACTCCGGCATATTCTTGTCAACAATATCATGAAAATCTTCCAACCATGCTTCAATTGGCTTAAACAAGGCAAAGAATTTCCCTAGCCAAATATATGCACGTTTATTTTGCATGCATTTTGGCAATATTTTTTTTAACTTGACAACATCAAAAATAAAAGCCATTTTGTAGACATCTAGTAGGTAAAACAAGAAGCAATATGCATCCTTTCTAAACTCTCTCCCAGGCCCTAGTTCTAGTAGTGTTAAGTAAGGATAATCGGGATGATACCTTAAACCGCGTATACCACCCGAACCTTTACCACTATAAACAACCAGCTGCAATGGCCGTATTATATTCTTTGACCGATTCTCGAGTACTATGGCTCCTATCGAATCTTTCACATCCTTCTCTCCCGGTTCTTCAAGTTCCTTGCATATGTCGAAGTCTTCAACCTTAGCTTTTCCCGTTTCGGCATACGTGTACCGACGGGTCATGCTCCTTGTGATTCTTTTTCTTTTGTGTGATGACGAAGACTCACCGTGGGGTTTTTTTTCCATGATCAAATATGATAAAATGTAACAATTTAGGAAATGGTGTTTCTATTCAAGTTTTAGTGGAGTGTTTAATTTTGTTTAGGTTGCAAGTACAATATGGGCTGAATGTATTAATTCTGATGCACTTTCTTTATTTCAAGTTGTTGGTACGCTTTTAATGTCATGTACGGAATAATGTGCTTGTTTACAGCACATTTACGTATACCATCCTCACCTAGAATGGTATTGGAATGAATTAAATTATTATACCATCTAGAGAGTAAACGAAAGAAAATAAACATGGTACTCAGTATAGACATTGTTCATTGGTAAATGAAACCCCCAACATGCAAATAATTTTTATTACAGCATATAGACACTAATGTGTGGTACCATTAATGAATAGTATGGTACATTATAGGTACCATCAAACCTCTACGATAGTATAAGTAGCAATGTCTCTAATAATCTGACAAACCCATAGCTGTTACACTAAAAGGACAACGTCGCCCATGAAGGTGTGGGGAGCTGCTCTTTACTACCATCTACTCCCGGTACCATGATTGAGTTTCTGTGTTGAATTGCTTTGAAATGAACATCTTATTTGAAATATAACCTTACCCCCAAGCAGTCCCCAAGGATGGTTTAACCTCCCGCCCCGACGTATAGGTTTGCAAGGATGAGCTCCCCGAACGAAATGGTGCGTCAAACACATCTGTGACCTCGTTGACGACTATGAGTGCAATGTTGTAACTTTCAGCAATTTGTTTCATTTTTCTAGCTACGGCTACTAACATTCGATGCCATTCGTAATATCCCTTTGATGTGTTGTCATGGTCGTCGCGGAATAAATGTGCTATAGAATCAAGCACGACAACCCTGGTGTGCCTACATCCTTCATGTGAGTACAACACCATTTTCTCTACTTGGTTCAACACTAAAAGAATTTGTTGAGGATTGTCAACCTTCTTCACTTGAACCAAACTAAGTGGATTTTCATCAATGGCGCAATGTTGTAACAGATGTGTACTTATCTGACTAAGCATGTTCACTAGAAACACTGGGCACACTTGTATGTAAATAGAGGATCCATATAAGCCACCATCTTCCGGCAACAACGTACAATTCAATACCAACTGCAAGCATATTTGTGTTTTACCCACGCCACTTTCACCGTAAATTTCAGTTACCTCACCAGTGCATACACCACCATCTAAAACCAAGTCTAATCTTTGACATTTGGTCTTACATTTTTGATTCATTTTCATAAGTGTAGTTTAATATTTTCACTAGTTTGATAGATCTGCTGCTATTGTATATGTAAGGGGGGGTACTGGGATATTTATGTGGATAATGCCTTTGGATTACATTATCCACAAGTACATGCAAGGTAAACACCCACACACACGTGCTCTTAGCCTGTCTATGATGGTATAATTGACATCCTCATTGGTGTGTAATGCATACCTTTCAAGGGCTGGATGGTTTGACATACCTTTCCAAGGACTTGTGGTTTGGCATACCTTTCCAAGGGCTGGATGGTTGTAATGCATACCATGACATGTTTGTTAAATACCATCAAAGGCCTAGTTTTGTACCGCAATCAGTTCAAGTGCTGTATTAGTTTAAAATAGTAATAAAAATGTACATAATCACAATGATTCATAACAACAACTCATACCACCAAAACAATCAAGTTCGGTAAAGTTAACTATTATTTATGGAGAAACTAGGATGGGGATGTAGATTTCGCAAATGTGGATTTGGATTTTGCATGAGAGTATGCGAATGTGGATTTTGTATGGTCGTGTTGGGCACATGTGCCGGGTTGATAAAATGGTTTCCATCACCAAATTGGACTTCACCATACGCATTGTTGGCGGTGAAGTAACCAACTGCTTCACTATGTTGGCTCATGTGTATCCCACCAGCTAGTACCCTCCTGTTAAACGGTGGGGAAGGAACACTCCCACTTCCGGTGAACACCAATGGGTCACCAGCAAAGTATCCTTGGTTGTTGACCTATATATTCATATATATAACACAACTATGAATACAATCATCTCCAACACTTAACACACTGAAATATACACTTCACTCAAATTGATGTTACCTGACTATTGGGAAACATATTCCCAATATGGTGCCGAGAAGGTAATACATTTGGGAAACCAACTTGTAATAATGTAATTACTTAGAATGTGAGTAATAAAAAAAAATAGGAAAATAATTGGCACAATAATAAAACACTTAAAGCAGTTCAACTTACTTGTTGTTGAATGAACTCAGGTGGATGGGGATTCACCTGACCGTATTGTACTTCGTTGTCATGTCCCTTGCCCTGTTTCTTTTTGGCCCCTGTCTTTGGTACCTTAGTCATGGCCTTTTCCGCTGGAGATACGTAACGTGTTGTTCGAGGTCTCCCCTTCTTATTATTACCCCGAGGTTCAGGATCTTTCACACATGTAGAAGAATTTGGTGTATCCGTAGAACCTACAACACTACCTTTGTTAACTGAGCTTGGGGTTTTGGGGGTTACGATTTTGGGAGCTTGAGGTATCATTTCACCACTAGGCGGCCTTTCTTCACCACCCGAACCTTGGCATGACCCCTCAGCCAACGCATGCAACTCATCGACTTTTAGGCTCATTAGCTAAATCAAGTCCATTAACACTTCCACAACTTCATCAGATGCAGAAGCACGAAGTACAATAGGTTCAAGTGCTAACATAAGCTTATCATATCTTCACACCTCCTCTATTTTTGATGCGTCATGATACGCAACTTTGACAAGAGTATGTTTCCTACTTATGTCCTTTCTCCACCTATCCACAACATACATGGATGGAACTTCAGTCACTCCACTCATGTCTAACACCTTTTTTATATGCCTACAAATAATTCCATGACATTCAAAATGTCGACAGTCACAGTTTGCCTGTTTCCTTTATGTATTATACACAACAGTATATTCCTTCAACCGACCTTTTAGGGGAGTCTCCTTCTTCTTAATCTTGAAATAAATCCACACACGATCTGAAAACACATACTCCACCTCATTTTGTGACAATAACTTCTTCGACACAAGAGTGAGATATGCTACACGGTTGCACTGGTTTTGAACTTCCACAAACTTTGCATCCGTATACACCTTCTGGAATTTACCTTCTAAGGCAAATTCCGATATTAGAGGACTAACGAATCGTGCATAATTAGCATCCGCTTCGTGCTCATCATTAGCTTGGCTCTCCATCGCCTTAATATAATTAGGAGCAAACTCACACAGCCGGGTATGTTAATTAATATAACCATAAAAAAACTATTTATGCTCTCAACACGTTGAGTAGTCTGCATTCCTGCCCAAAATACCCCTTTAACATACGCAGTCTCTCGCTCCTCGTATAGACCTACATACAACAAAACCAACTACAATGAAGCAACAACAAGATGACACAACAGCATAAGGAAATAAAAATCACCATTAAAAATCACCATTAACACAAAAATCACCATAAAAATCACCAACACAATAAATGCTTATGTACAAGTGTAGACACCCATTTGTGTCTCCCCAAAACCAAACCCAGTGATGAGTTCCTTTCACGTTGAATCATAATCGAAAGTTTTAATTCTTTTCTCTTCTCTCTGTTTTTGAAAACTTTATTTTAAAGAAAATAGTCAATCCAGTTTGGTTGGTCCATGATATTGGTCCAATAGTGGTGTAGTTGGATGGGGCTTGCAAAGGCCTTTCCAACGATATATTATAAGCTCAATTCCGATGAATATTGAGGAATTTATGGCCAATTTACTAAACTAGGCCCGGTTTGAGCTTTAAGTACGGCCCAATGATCTAGGGGAGGGCCTAATATGATTTATCATTCCTAATGTAATTAGGAATGGTTTTGGTCTTCTAGAACATTCTAGAAGGTCTTATCATTCTTAATTCAATTAGGACTCTTCAGAGTTTTAATTAGATCAAATAGCATTTTCGACTGAAATTATATTATTTTATCTTCTAGTACGAGAAATTTATCAGATTTTCGAAAACGCGTTGAAATCCAATTTGGCGTCCAACCCCAGGCCTTGGCGCTTGGAATCAGGATTGGCGCCAGACGCCAGCCATTGGCGCCTGGCACTAGCCACTGGTCCTAGCGCCAATGAGCCAGGGCTGGCGCCAAGTTAGTTTTGTGGTCTTCAGACTCTGTTTTGATAAATTATCTTTTTTGGATGTTTTTCTCTATAAATATCGTATCAAAAACTCCGGTTTCATTCATAACCAATCACTTTATGAATTACCAATAATCAACTCTCTTCATTCACAAAATTGTTCATCAACTCTCTTTATTCATCAACTCTCTTCATTCATCATTCATTCATCAATTTTCAATAACATTAATCTTTTAGCATTCTGTTCTAAACTTTACTTTTTTAACACAAAATTCCGCATTCACAAGATCTAGAAACACCTAGCCATATTCGAAGTTGCCTTTGCCCTAGACGTGAAAGGTTTTAATTTCTGAGGGTTTGGTCCCAAATCTCTCTTTAAATTATTTAATTTAATTGTTTTGATTATTATTTTTCCTTGAAGTTATTAACGCGTGTATTTTGTAATTAGAAAGAGGTACGAGGCATCCAAGTAAGTACTTTAATGGTTTAATTGATTTCATGATGTAGATATCATGCTTAGATTGTTATTTATGATTCCTAGTATCATGTCTAGGGTATCTTTAATATTAAGTATGATTAAAAGTATGATGCTTCCTATGTTCTTCCTAATATTTATGATTATTATGATTATGATTAATTATTGATTATTTATTATGTTGCTTGATATGCATATTATTTTATATTGTTATTGCTTGATCACCCATTATTGCAGGTTAAAGGGAATTGGTATTTGCAACTACACTTAATAAGATATTAATAATCTTGTTAGGGTTAATTGTGATTATAAATTCAAGTGATCGCCAATAATAGTTTATTTGTGCATTAAATTCAACCAACATAGATTAAACAGGTTTAGGGTTAATCCTATTGATTATATGTTAGTCAGAAAGCGCACATGAATACGATCAGAATAAAGTAGACGCCTATTATTAGGGCAGGTTCAATCTCTTTTAGGTTGGATTTGTACCATCATCCCCGAACCCTTATTTGGTTCATGACCTTATGGAGTTGACGATCTCTTGGATCGTTAAGGGGTGTAACCTTCATCCTATGAACGGTTTACAAGTTCCTTAAAAACTTGTTGACGACTCTTTTGCTCTATCTTCTTCCCTTTTGGACGCCACCATACTTTAGTGTATGATCACAGTGGGGTTCAAGCTAGTGGGATTTTCAAAGGCTTGAAACTATTCCCTACAGTTTTTGGCGACTCCACTGGGGAGGATTTCTATCTTAATTCCTGAATTTGTTTAGGCAATGATTTAGAATGAGTGGATGAGACTCGAAAAGTTCTAAGTATTTCATGTGCGTAATTTTGATTAACATTATAGTCATATGCATAAAAAGGTTCTCATTGGAAAGACCATCCGTAATGAGTAAAAAACATAGGATTTTACACGTAGGAAATTTGAGAAACGTCTTTCACAACTAGGACTGAAATAACACCGCGCGAAACTGGATGATTTTATTGAGCACAGAAAGCTGCTGAGGCATGTGGGAAGTAGCGTCAGGGGCCAGAGCTTGGCGCCAAACATTTAGCCGTAGCGCCAGACGCCAATATTGGCACCAAGCGCTAAAGTTAAAAGTTGGCGCCAGTCTCTGTTTGCTGGTGCCAATTTCCCCCAATACCGAGCCAGAAATATGCGTTCTAATTTCGACCGGTTTTTCGTATTGTTTGCTCGATCCTACTTCCTGATTGATTTTTTTTCTCACTTTTCTGAAACCCATATGTGTTCTACATATGGACATAACCCTCTGGGAATTCATGCTCTATCTACCCGATTGAACACTCCTGGCAACAAAGGGTACATCTGAGAGGTTGAATTCACCAAACCATGGAAGCGAGTTTTTTCTAAAAAAAAAAAACTCGCGGTGTTCTATCCACACGCGTTATCCCTTCACGGTTAGGCTTCTACGCGGTGCATCTGGACAATTAACCATGAACCTTGTTTGACTAAACCATATCCCGAACTTTAGAGAACTAGAGCCATGGTTAGGTTGCGAACTCATTGCATCATATTGTGCTTACTTGTCTATTTGTGCATTATTTGTTGTGCATATATATTCTATGCTCCTCCTAACCATTTGTTGATTTCGG